TGTTCATAACTTTCGATTCAAACATCTTTTGTTATACAGGAGCTGCTCGGGAGACAGTAAAGTTGGGAAGGATATGAAGCTGGAGGTTTATACCAGTTTTGGATCTGCCCACGGGTACTTTGGTTGCAGCTCTTTCCCCCTAAGTGTTCATGATCGTTTGGCCATCCTCACTTGTCAAAGTTAAAAAGATGTGTCCTGAAACTTAGTGGTCTTCAGACTTTAGAATGTGAGTCCTGTCAATAGGAAACATGTTAGATCTGTCTTGCCCAAAAGTCTCAATCAATGTGTACTTCTAGTTTTCGTTTATTCATTCTGAATGTCTGGGGACCTAGTCGCGTCTCTTCTTGCTTTTGGTTTTAGGTATTTTGTAACTTTTATTGATGAGTAATTCTAGATGTACTTGGGGTTATTCTAATAAAAGATCGCTCTATGAATGTTACCCTTTTCAATCCTTTTTGAATGAAATCAAGAACCAATTGGTCATGTAATAAAAGTCTTAAAGAAGTGATAAGCTAAGGTATTTCCTCATACTTTTTCTTCACTCTTAGCTCCCATGGTATTTTACATCATCCACTTGTCCTCATACACCCCAGCAAAATGGTTATAGCCGACAGAAAAAATAGACACTTGGTTTGAAACGGCCGTACCCTTTTGGCTTAGTGCTATATTTTCCTGTTCATCACTGGGATGCCATCTTAACTGCATGTTTTCCTTATTAATAGGATTGCCCTCCCTCCTCCTCAATAATAAAGTCCCTTTCTCCATTCTCTTTCCCAATGATCCTCTCTTTCACACCTCTCCTCGCCGGTCTTTGGTTGTGTTTGTTTTGTTCACGACATGTCTCGGGGCTCGCAAGCTCTCTGCTCGTGCAATCAAATGTGTCTTTTTGGGCTTTCTCGGCTTCAAAAGGGTACCGGTGTTACTCCCCTGAAACCAAAAAGTACTACATGTCTGCCAATGTTACCTTCTTTGAACAGACACCTTTCTTCTCACCCTGTTCAAGATGTTCATATCCTCCACCAGGTCCTTCCTTTCCAGTGGTTGAATCTAATATCTCCAATCCCTCAGTCAGTTCCAAGTCATGCCCAAGGTCCTCCCGAACCTTCCTCTCCCCATACTGATATCCTTCGACACAGTACCCCGTGAGTAATCCTCTTCCAGCAAATGGTGGATCTCCTCCTTCAGATTCTTCTCCGTCACCATCTCCTGTCACGCCTCCTGTGTGAAGATGATTCTGGTTGGCCCATTGCTCTCAGAAAAGGTACTCGTTCCACTCGTAACCCTCATCCCATTTATAATTTTCTTAGTTATCACCGAGTGTCGCCCTCCTTTTATTCCCTTTTATCCTCAATATCTCCTGTGGTTATTCCTAAAAGTTGAAAGAAGCACTTGATCATCCTGGATGGCGACAGCCATGATTGAGAAATGCAGGCTCTTGACCACAGTCATACTTGGGAGCTTGTGGCCACTTCCCCCGGGCAAAAAGGCTGTTGGTTTGTCGATGGGTATATGCCATTAAAGTCGGCCCTAATGGTGACATTGATAGGCTCAAAGCCCGACTGGTTGCAAAAGGGTACACTCAGGTTTATGGTCTGATTATTGTGACAACCTTTTCTCCCGTGGCCAAGATGACTACCATTCGATTGTTCTTTGCCATGGCCGCCATTCGTCATTGGCCACTTCATCAGTTGGAAATCAAAAATGCCTTTCTCCATGGTGATCTTGAGGAAGAAGTGTATATGGAGCACCTCGGGTTTTGTGCTCAGGGGGAGTCTGGATGGTTTGTAAATTGAACCGATCTCATATGGGCTCAAGCAATCACCACGGCTTGGTTTGGAAAGTTTAGCTCCATTATTCAAAATTTGGGCTAAAACGCAGATGAAACAGATCATTCGTCTTTTATTATCATTCATCCTCCCGCGAATGTGTTTACTTGATAGTATATGTTGATGATATAGTTATTACAGGAAATGATGCTGCTGGAATATCTCAATTGAAGGAGTACTTGTGTAAACATTTCAAACCAAGATCTTGGGAGCCTCCAAATACTTCCTAGGCATTGAAGTAGCTCGTCAAAAGATGGAGTTGTAATCTCCCAAAGGAAGTATGCTCTGGATATTTTGCAAGAACTGCATGATTGATTGTAGACGGTTGATAGCCCTATGATCCAAATCAGAAGATTAACAACAGAAGGGTGATATTCTCCGACCCGGAGAGATATAGAGGCTAGTTGGAAAACTAATCTATCTCACTATTACAAGCCGGATCTATCTTTTGTAGTTGGAGTGGTTAGTCAGCAAAGCTCCATGTGTTGGCCATTGGAATGCTATCATTCGCATTCTAAGGTATGTAAAAAGGCTCCCGGGCAAGGGCTGTATATGAAGAGAAAGGAAGCCTTCAGTATCAGGATATTGTGATGCTGATTGGGCAGGTCTCCTATTGATAGAACGATCTACTACTGATATTGTGTTTTCCTTGGAGGAAACATTATCTCATGGAAAAGTAAGAAACAAAATGTAGGGCTCGATCAAAGCTCGAAGCTGAATATAGGGCAATGGCTTCATTAACATGTGAACTTATATGGGTGAAGCAGTTCCTTCAAGAGCTTAACGTTCTGTAACATCCAGAGTGTTGAAGATGTATTGTGATAACCAAGTGCCTCTTCACATTGCATCAAATCCAGTGTTTTCACGAAGAACCAAACATATAGAATTGATTGTCATTTTGTTCGGGAAAAATTATTGTCAAAAGAATATGTACTGAGTTTGTTGATCAAATGACCAACTCGCAGATGGTTGACTCTAAGTGTTAAGGGGACCTTGGATTGTAGTTTATTGTTCCAACTTGGTACATACAATCTTATGCTCCAGTTGAGGGGGGTAGTGTTAGAATAATTATTAGTCTACCTAGTATAGCAGGGCCTAAAGTAGGCAGTTGTGTGTTGGGGTATCTATAATGATTGTTCCTAGTCATCTAGGACAATCTCTTCATCTTCCATCTATGTATTGTATCAGATTTTTATCTATATTAATGATAGAACTGAGAAGGGTCTTTCAAGCCCTTAAACTATTTTTCTTGTTTTTGATCTCAAGTGGATCACCTTAAGAAGAAAAGGGAATAAAAAATCAAACATAGTCTATTAGGAGGTGTTGGGGTTGTTAGGCTTGGGTTGTGAGGCTGTGAAGTGTCTTTTGGGGGTTAGCTATATAAGGGGAAAGGTGTCTTGAGATAGGGGATGGTTCTTTTGTATCTGTGTTATGGACAAGTTTGTACCTGTGAGAAGGGAGATAGTTCTCTTGGTTGTTGTTAGGATATTTATCCTATTTATCATCATTATATTGTGTCATGAGTTACCCTATTTATCATGATTATATTGTGTCTAGAGTTACCCTATTTATCATGATTATATTGTGTCTAGGGTTACTCTAATTATTATGATTATATTGTGTCTAGGGTTACCCTAATTATCATATACTCTTGTATCAATTTATTTTTATAAATAGAAGATTATGAGAGGGATCAATCAAGCCCTCTAGAATTATTTTACAGTTTAATTCTCAAGTGATGATTTAAAACATGTTCGTTGTTACCCACATAATAATACAAGGTTTTTATGCTGTGAGTGTGTGTGTGGTGTGTTCTGTCATCAAAACAGAGGAAAGTCTAGTTTCTTGTCACCAAGGAACCTAATAATATGTATTGTGGTGTTCATTCCGAATCCCCCTTAGCTCTTTGAACTTTTCAAGTTGTTGATCAATTGTAACTCTTGTTATTGCATCCAAAACCATTCTTTGAAATGTTTCATACATGTTGGTTTTTTTATTATTGATTGATTGTGAAATAATGAGAATTGTTACAATATTTAAAACTTGAAAAAGTAACTACCCACTAACAGTTTATCCTAATTTTAATCCACTACTTCAACCCATAATTAAAATTAACTAAATCATAAAAATAAGGAACAAACTTTGACTCAATTAAAATTAAAAATAAAAATATTCCTAAAGTATTTTCTTAACACTCCTCCTTGCTTTAGGAACTGTAAAAGTATATGAAAGATCAATCTGGCTTCAGTAAAAAGTTTATGAATCTTGAACTGTGAATTCCAACATAACCTTTCTTCATTGCTTCAGTGTTGACTTTATTAGCATCTTTAGGCTCCTTCTCTTCGTCTTCATAGTCAAGAAGGTCCTCCTCGTACGCCTCATTCTAATAATGTACTAAACTATTTCCTGATTTGTCCATGGTTACCCATGATACGATCATGGCCCTTCCCACACGGTCACCTATTATTATATGAACCTATTGAGGAGCATTATAGCTAGAAGGGGCAGCAAATACATCACTATGAAGGGGCATGTCCTCAACCCTATCGACCTTTCTAATGAAAGAATTTGTTTTGCCTCCATGGCAAACTACAGCCACATTAAGAAGGATCAAAACTAAGGATCAAAACCAATGTTGCAGCTATTGCTGCAAAACTAGAGAAACTCTTTGCACCCAACATAGATGAGGATGTCTTAGCTTCTTGTGCCAGATTTCTGTCACATTTTTCCTGAGTGAGAAAACAATTTGCTCCTCCTCGAATGGTTTTACAGCAAACCTTTTCCCTTTCATTTTCACCTTGAACATATCTTGACCAGCTGCATCTTTAATCAAGCAATTTTTGTCTTCAAAAACAACTCTAAATCCTCTTTCAATCAGTTGACCAACACTTAACAAATTTTGATGAATTTCAAGAATGAAAAGAACGTCTGGAATAAATTTTGTGCCTGCATAACTTGTATTGCAACTGTCCCCTTTCCTTTGACTGAGATATAATCACCATTGCCTATTCTGACTTTGGTGACATTAGTTGGCCTCATATCTCAAAATAGTGCCTTGTCAAAGGTCATGTGCTTAGTACAACCACTATCAATTAGCCAAGATTCACTTGAAGCATTGGTTGAAAAACGTGTTGCAACAAAAGTTGATCTTCCTTTTCTTCATTTGCAATTTGAGCATCTTCTTCTTGCTGCTGATTTTGGTTTTTGCATGACAACTTCATACCCAAGTTGATTGCACTTGGTGCATTTAGCGTCAGGCCTTCTCCAACACTTGAATGGAGGATGACCCATCCTGTTGCAATGCTTGCAAGGAGGATACTTTCCCTTAGAGCTTCATGCTTTGTTTTCACTTCTGACAACACCTTCTCTATTTGGTTGCTGGTTCCTTTTTTTGTTTTTCCAACTATCTTCATGTTTAGCAGGCAAGGCTTCCTCAAAAAAGCCTTCTTCTCTCATAGCCCTTCGTTGTTCTTGTGCATGCAAGGAATTCAGCAACTCTGCCAAGGTGATCTTGGAAAAATCCTTAGTGTTTTCTAAGGTGGTTATGGTAGCTTCAAATCTTTCAGGTACGGTAACCAAAATTTTTTCCACAATACGAGAGTCCTTAAATTCAAAACCAAGCAATCTTACTCTATTTGCTATGTTCAGAAGCCTCTTAGAGAACTCCTTGATAGTTTCAGATTCCTTCATCTTCTGCAATTCAAAGTCTCTAATGAGATTCAACACCTTCATACCTTTAATTCGATCATCTCCATCATATTCTTCTTTAAGATAATCCCATATGGCTTTGGCTGACTTTAGAGACATGATTCGAGTGAAAATGGTTGGTGAGACTGCAACAAAGAGGCACACCTTTGCCTTAGCTTTTGTTAGAGAACTAACTGAGACATTTTATTCATTCATTAACTCTAACAAGGTTTTGGTATTCTATATATATAGAATACCATGACAGAATACAACCCACCTATTAAGTTGGGTACACACTCACAAAACATAAACTTAATACATTTCAACACTCCCCCTCAAGCTGGAGCATATAAATCATATGCACCAAGCTTGGAACATATAAACTAAATCTTAGGCCCTCTTAAAGACTTAGTTAGAATATCTGCAAATTTTGTAATGAGATCCTTGGACAGGAACTTCTCTCTGATGAAATGACAATCAATTTCTGTATGTTTTGTTTTCTCATGGAACACTGGATTGGAGGCAATGTGAAGAGCTGCTTGGTTATTACCATACAACTTCATAGGCTTATTTTCACATAATTTTAATTTTTGTAGCATGTGGACTAGTAGCTCATTCCTCTGAGGCAAACATTGATCTAATAGCATTTTTTTAGTGCTTAATACAATTTAATGTATGATAACAAGTAGCAAAACATGTGACAGTTGATCTTGCTAATTCCCTTCCAAGTGCTTTCTATACAAATTAAGAACCCATGCGTGCCTATGTATGTAACTAGTGATTTTCTTTGCATTGCCAATGGTATTGCAAAATATGGGAATCTCTCCAATTTCCTCCAGAACTAGATTAAGACGGTGAGCTGCAAAATGGGATCAAAATAATTTGGTTCTCTTTTCCATTATCATTCTCCCAGCTGCCACAAGGTTAGATGCCCCATTAGTAACTACTTGGACTACTTGCTCCTCTCCAATTTCATCCACTATGCTGTCCTACAACTCATACATTTTTTCCCCATCTTTTGCCACATCACTAGTACCAATTGATTTCAATAAAACAGTCCCACTTGGTCTGTTAACAAGAAAATTAGTGGTCTTCTGTTTAATTTGGAGCTATGCATGACACTTAACTTAGTTGTCTCTCTAAGTGATCTTCTGTTGAATTTGGGAGATGTATGAGACTTATTCTCGTTCAGTTACTCATTTTGTTTTCGATGGAAACTAGGAAGATGACAGTGGATTTTGTAGTAGTGAAAGTAATTTCCTCTCTTCCATGGTTTTTCTTTGGTAACTTTTTTAAATTAGAAAACATAATGACAACAGAACTATATATTTTTTTAACCATTAATGGAAACATATAAACTAAAAATGAAAACAAAACCTGACATGATTATATGTTCTAGGCAATCTTAGTGTACTTCCAATTTACTACAAAATATATTTTCATTGTTAATATTTCTTGGTGCCTGTTTATCAGTATTAAGGGAGTGAGTCCTAGGGATGAGAATAGCACACTCTAGTGCAGGGATAGTGCATTAGAGGAGCAGAGCTTCCCTTGGCTACTATGGACACTCCATAACTGAGCATTACAGTGTTGTGGCGCTGTAACATGTTCTGAAACAAAGCTTTTAAAATAGGTCTGCCAGGTAGTTTGGAGGGATTTTTCTGAATCTTTTTTATATTCAATAAAAAATTCTGTTTTGCTTAAGATGACCCACTTTTTTCTGACCACGTTTTACTCTCTCCGTTTTGTTGAATATGTTTGATTTTCTTACTGACATAAAATGCTGTTACATCTGCACTCACTTCTTTGGGCACACAGCTTTAAATTTAATATCCTTAAATTTATTTATGCATTAGATCCTTTTTTCCTTATCCCATAACCTTCACTCTTTTTCTTTGCTTCACTCCGTTTTATATATGAATGTTCTGTTTATGTTAAGAGTTGTTGACTGGCAGATATACTGTCACATGGGTTAGTTATATTAGAGATGAGTCAATTATATTACGGATATGATTTGATTACATTAAATAGGGAGATATGGTATATGATTTGATTGGGAAATCTGTTGCCAAATATTTCCCTTTATTAGATATTGATTTTGTTCCTTATTATTGTATCTTCATTATAAGTAAGAATACTCATGTGTGTACCCGACATAGAATTTGTTATATTCCTTCTCAATTTCTCTGGCCTCAACATGATACTAGAGGGGTACCATATTTACGTCACTTGTTTTGCCGCCAATCAAGAACCTAATGATAACTAAAATCAGTGTTTTCCATACTGTTGCTATTCGCGCCGAATACACTGTTTGCCACTGTCATCATAATTCACGACCTGTCATTGTTCAATGCCTAGGACATCCATCCGAACCATTTCTGACTAACATTACTATTTGTATCCAATGTTTTCAAGGCATGTATTGTTTGTAGCCAATCTTTTTCAGAAAATGCTATTTAACGCAAACGTTTTTCCTATTGAGTTTTTCTAGTGGATATTGTTATTTCTTTATGAGAAATGTTGTAGTTTTATAGCCCTTTGTTTTGTTATTGTTGAGCATGATGTCCTGGTTGTATATTCTTGCTGATTTAAAATCGTAATTAGCTTACATTTTTTCTTTTCAATGAAGCTAATCAGGAATGGAGACATTGATGTTGCATTTGGTAAATTGCGGGAATGGTATCCACAAATTATTGAGGTGGGCTCGGCTCTCTCAGATTATAATACTTGGCTCAGTCACAGTTGCTATAATGTAGTGCAAACCTAACTTCAATTAAACCGATAAAAAATACAATCATGTTTGCTATGGCATATTTATTATCTTCGATCTATATACAATGGAAATTGCTTTAAACTTATTCTTTTAAGTAATTTTGATTGTTATGCTTAAATTGTTAACTGCCATGTTGTGTTTTGTTGTTTGAATCATACATGACACAGATTATGCTATGATATAGCTTTCTTGGTTCACTCTTTCTGAGTTTACTAAATTTAAAAACTTATTTACCCAAGAATTTGTGGTTATGTGGAGTTTGGCTGTCGGCACTAATTCTTCCCCTTGTTATTGTTTCTTTCGCATCTATTCAAAGTGACAGTACATTGCTAAGTTGACTAAGATTTTATCTTTGAACTACTTTGTTGATCTTCGAGACATTACTTCTAATTTAATTTTCATTTTTTCAATGGTTCCAAATAACAGATAGAATTATGTATGACATTTTAATATTTGTCGTACGTAAGAATCTTCTTTCTTCATATTTACTTCGGGAGTCTTGACAATCAGTTCTGGTTACTGCAGGACAACACATCAGCTACATGCTTTCTGCTACATTGTCAAAAGTTTATCGAATTAGTTCGGGTATATTTCTTTCAATGTTTATTTTTGTAATTATCGGACACTTTATTCCAGTATTTCATTAGTACACATTCGTAAATGTGGATTTAAGTTGTTAATTTGCATGTTGATAAGCACACTAGAAACCCATCCTTAAAAACCAACTGTTAAGAAAGGAGAACCAAACTTTCGATACTATTTGATGTGAGACTTGGACAGTCCATAAGATCGTAGTCCCTGTCACATGCCTCACATTTTATTAATTAGTTAAGCTCAATTTATATTATTTATCTGTCTTTTGCTGCTGAAAATGTCAAATTTATCCATGAGTTACAGAAGTTGAGTACTTTATTAATATTCATTTTATGGCTCTATGCGTTATTTAGGTTGGAGCGCTTGAGGAGGCAGTTAGATATGGAAGAATAGAATTGTCGAGTTTTTACGACTTTCCTGTCTTTAAAGATTTAGTTCAGGTGAATTCTCTTACTAATAATGGAAATTGTTGTCCATTTCAAATTTCTTACATTTTTTGCTTAATCCGTGCGCTCATCTTATAATAATTATATTGCACTAGATTAGTCGGAACAATCCCTAAACCCTTGAATCATTTCATCTCCCCTTTGTTATTGGCTTTAAGCACTACTTGGGAATTTTAATCTTTTGTATGTCATCTGTTTCCTGTTGGCTTTGGATTGTTTATTCCGTAGGACTGTGTTGCTTTGCTGGCATATGAACGGCCTCTAGAATCTTCCGTAGGCTATCTTCTAAAAGACTCGCAGCGTGAAGTTGTAGCTGACACGGTAAATGCCATGATTTTGTCCACAAATCCCAACATGAAAGAATCAAAACATTGCTTGCAGTCTTATCTGGAGAGGTTACTTAGACAGCTCACTGCTTGCTGCTTAGAGAGACGAGCACTGAATGGAGAGCAGGGAGAAGCTTTCCAACTTCAGAGATTACTTAGCAGTAGTAGAAGAGGCTAGTGCTAGGTGATATTATATCTATTAATCTTATGCTATGTTCATATGTCTCGATCTGACACCACTGTTCATATTACCTCGGGATTTGTAACAATGCCCAGTGATTAGATTTCCCATATTTACTTGATGCATGATCATTCATTTCTTTGGCAAGAAGGGGGAGGAGAGGGGATATTTGTAACCTCGTCATCACTATTAAAACAATGAAAATGGGAAAAATGAACCAAGCAATGATTTCAAGATGAAAAATTTGTTGACTGGAAGATGTTAGCACGTTTTGATGCGTGAACAAATGTGTATATACTGTTGTAATGCAAATTACTTGTGGTATAAGTCCTCCTAAATTTTATTATTGTGAACTCGTGATCCAATGAAATATTTTGGGATTGATACTTGTTATGAGTATGAAATTGTAGGGGAAACTTCGGTCATCTAAAAAGGAAAACATATACCTCAATAGTATGGATTTAGTATATTATCATGGTAAAACTTTAAATATGAATGGAGAATAATGCAGGTTTTTAATGTGGCAACGAGAGTCAAACAAATTCAGTCAATTTCTTTTATTCTCAAATTTATTCTAATTTTAAAATTTGGCACTATTCTTTTAAAATTTATTCTAATTTTAAAATTTGGCACTATTCTCAAACAGGTTTTTACGATCTTTCAATAACTTCAAATATTTTAGGTTAATGCACAAAGTAAGATTATTTGGATGAATGTTTAATTATTTTTAGAACATGAAAAGAAGAAAAAGAAAAGAGCAATTAGTTTCTTGTGTTAAAGTTAGGGTATATATAGTTTGAAAATATAATTTTTACAATTAACACGAGAGAGATATTAAGAGTTTTAACATTATTTCTTATGTTTTCTTTCTATCTCAAGCATTAGAACAGAACAAATATAAGATGAAAAGGGAGAAGAATCAGAGAAGTTGGTGCAGAAAAGAAATGCTGTAATGTATTTGATTGTGTAGGGTTATAGCTAAGCTAGTAGTAATATGGTTCTCTAAAGAAGATTACGTAAATGATACAGCATATGGAAAAAATAATGATAAAAACATCAATAGTGATGGCAGAGACTGCCTGATCACTGAGCTTCATATTCCTTCCACCGAGGCGGTCGACCATGTCGGGAACAGGTTCCCAGTTCCTGAGTTGTTGCTCCCGAGGATCCTCTAATTTCATTCTCATCTTCTCTGCATGTCGGCTTGCAGCCTCTTGAGCAAGGCTCCAATCATAAAATTTTCGACTCTCTTCATCGCTCAGAACGTTGTAAACCTCTCTCAGTTTCATGAATTTTTCCGACGCACTTTTCAGAGGGAGGGAGGTTGTGTCAGGATGATACTCCTTCGATAGTTTCCTATAAGCAACTTTGATTTCTTCTAAATCCGCATTGGGTGATACTCCTAAGAATCTGGTGAATGATGGTGCATGAGAAAAAGGAAAAAATTCTGACATCATTTGATAATGTTAACTAAAGTTAATTTTTGTATTTCTAAAAAAAAGTGAAGGATACTCGGGGATAATATTATCAATCGAGTGTAAAAGAAACACTGATGTCAAAGTTCATACAAACGAGTGACTCACTCGTAATGAGAGCCTAAAGAAGTGAGGAGCAAATCTGACAAGTCATCACCGTCGGCAAACATGTTGCTGGATTTGGTATCTTTATCTCTATCTCCGCCTCCAATCCACCCTTCATCCTCGTTGTCCCAGTGGATTCTGGTGTCAACTCCAGGAGGGGCTCTCGGGGGTCTGCCGGAGCACTGCACCTGCAAATTACTGCTACCTCTCCTTTTTCTCAAAATCCAGAACTTGCACAGTTCAATCTGCAGAGGAGCTCTGCATGTCCATGGGGAAGCCATGGGAGAACACAACTGCAAAATCCTCATTCTCATTTCAGCCTGCAATTCCTTTCGCCTTGCCGCAATTATTTTATATAAACAATACATATCTCTCACTTCCGTGTGGCCCTCCTTCAGTCTTCATTTTCTGTGGTTCAGACCTCTTCAAACTCCCAATGCCTTGTCATTTACCCATCTTCCAAATCAACTGTTATTTTATGTTTAATTCTTTCCCTATTGTCTGGATAAAGATGATATTGTATAAAAAATGTGTTTCCCCTCTGCATTACTATATAAATGTTATGCTTAATATCTTGTGGAGTTTTCTTAGAAGAATAAATATTAAAAAAAATTATTGTCATCACTAATTTAAAACTATAAACTGTTTTTAATTTAATTTTATAATAAAGACATTTTCAACTTTTCACTTTAATTCATTATTTACTGAAGAGAGATAATTTTTTTTATATATTTTCACTTTGATCGCACTATTCATGCAACATTAAATTGTGTTAGCGAAAAAGTTAAACAAAATTTTAATTTAATAAAATTATTAGCTTCAAAACATTCATTTTTAAGCGCCAAATCTGATGGTTCACGCCAATTAATCATAACTTAACACTTTATTACTGTTCCCAACCCTCTCAGATTCCAGAACTTGCTCTTACATCTCTCAGAGAAGTATCCCTGCGAAAATAAAGAAATAGTTGAAAATAGAAATAGAGCTTCCTTTAAAGCAAAATCTAGAACTTTTGCCATTATTGTAAAATAAAAATGTAGTAGTATCCTTAGCACTAGGTCCAGTAGGAGTAGTATAGTAGTACCAGCACTCTAGGGGTCGGTCAACCTCACGTAAACAAACTCGTGAGAGCTCTTAAAACTCGATTTTTAGACTCGACTGTAATAAGTAAGAGTTTACTTCCCAGGAAAAAAAGTGAGTTTACACCGAAAGTGTTAACTCACGAGTTTGATAACCATGAGTAGTAGCATAGTAGTAGTATTATTATAGTAGCAGTAGTGATAATAATAGTAATCAACCATTCAGACGAAGGTCTTTTTCAACGCATTATTTGAGTTTTCTTTCATGTCTCCCTCTTACCTTTCTGATTGAATAAACTTCTGTTTCGTCTGTATGCACCATCTTAAAGAGTTTAAATCCAAATTGTTGGGCAAGGCACATAAATGATTTTGCATCATCCCTAACACATTCCTCAAGCAAAATGCTTTTTGGACCTGAAGCATGAACAATGCACAGGACCAACTACAGAGTTTTAAATTCAACTCTTCTTATTTGAGAATACGGTCACAATGATGAAATTCTATATATTCCAATCAAATCAACACCCAAAAAATGAAGAGAACAAACATCAGTAAATTTTCAACCAATCGTGTATAATGGCCTCTCTGCTGGAAACGATATGCCACAAAATAAAAAACTTTGGTTTAGGAACCATTGTAAATGCTAAAATCAACTATCCAACAGAATATAACACGCATGAGCAATTAAAATAGGACAACAAATTACACGTTCGATGAAAATTATTATAGAGTAGAATTTGCCTTCCATTATCAATAATGATAAGCTCAAGGAAAAACAATCCAGTGCCACAAAACTAGTTATGTAAGAGATCTTTGCATGAGTCACCTACAAACAAATATGGCACTAATGATTTCATTAAATTACACCAAACAATCCAAAGCTTATAATTAGTCAAACATACATATGGCTATTATCATAGCACAACAGGTTAAATAATTGCTGAACCATATTTCACCATGCACAACAAAAAAGAGACCTTAAAAGAAACGAAGAATGATCAGCTGACTTGTTTTAGGACTAATGCATAAGGACAGATCATGAGCTTAAATCCTCTGCTTAGAAAGCGTAAAGTTACACATTTTGAAAAGTGCAGACTACTCAACCCGAGGTGTACAAGTTGTAAACAATGGGCTACACAAAATTAAAATCCAAAACTAAGAATGAGACCAAAGTGTAAGAAGAAAGTGAATAAGGAACACAAATAATAGTTGTGTTCCACAAGGAAGATAATATTTCCAGATAATTTTGAAAGTACATTTATTCCACAAGGAAGAAAATATTTCCAGATAATTTCATTTCTAAACCATTCAACATCAACTCAGGATAATCATGATTAAAGAGAATGTTCCTTTTAAACAGCGTTATGATCAACAGATCTAGACAATGGAAAGGAACATAAGAAAAATCAACTGGAGAAAAGAAAACAGTTTTAAAGTGTATCATCAGTGTGCAAAGAGAGGGAGAAAAATAATCATCCATGAGTTCAAATGTCAAAGGCAATGACTGTGTTGGTATTCAATTGCAGTCTCAAATACAAGATAATTTAGAATAACTAAGATTGCAGAACATACACGATCATTTAAATGAGGGACACAGATGATGAGAAACAAGAGCAAAGAACTCTAACAGGAAGAAAGAGAGAAACATATCATTGTGTGTCTGTCACGTCTCATTTAATGCACCAGAGAGCCACCTGTTTGCTCTCATAAATGCACCCACGACCTCTGCTCAGTGCCAT